AGTGGTTGCACCAATTTGCAGTCCCACCAGCAACATATTAGTGTATCTTTTTCACCACACTCTCGCCAACATTTATTGTTGCCTGTATTCTTAATGATTGCCATTCTGACAGGAGATGAGATCTTAGAATAGTTTTGATTTGCGTTTCTCTAATTGCTAGAGATGTTGAACACTTTTTCATATATTTGTTGATCAATTGTATTTCTTCTGTGAAGTGTCTGTTTGTTCAGAAACAGTGTAATTTCTGTTCAAAGCATTATTTGTGTGTTATAACAGCATCAGTACATTTTATTTTTTATATTTATCTGTCCTCCGGAATTTAACCTTCTAGGTTGAAATCATATTATGTTGATTGACTTAAATCTCTTGTCAAAAATGGTTAATGAGGGGCTGGGGTTATCGCTCAGTGGTAGAGTGCTTGCCTTGCACGTGTGAGGCACTGGATTCAATCCTCAGCACCACATAAAAGTAAATAAAGTTAATATATTTAAAAAGAAAAAAAATAGTTAATGACCTCATGGTCTCAAAATGCCTGCTAGGAAGCATTCTGTCTGAGAGAGCTATTAGTTGTTAACTGGTAATAATTTAAGTGATATTACAAAGATTGACAAAGATAATTTGAAGTATATTTCTTGATGTAATCAGAAGAGGTCTTTCTTCACAAGTCAAGATTGGTAAGCAGGAAAATAAGTGATGGTATATAACAGATATGTTCAGTCTCAGAGTTGTCAGCATACTAGAAGCTTGGCATTAAGAGAACTCGGACGGTCTTGTCTTAACTTGTTTGAAGCTATGAACAAACATATTTTGGCTCTAGTTGTCTCCTGCAAAGATTCTCAACCTATGACCCTCAAATAGATCTCTCTTTTCTAAAATTGTTTTTCTGCTGGGCATCTGCAGCAATTGGCATGAAGTGCTAGAGAGTTCATGTAGCACCAGGCTACTTTGCTGATGAAAACTTTGCCCATGGTGCTTGCTATAAGTGAAATTAATTAGACTTGTGCTATCCTAGTCAATTTCCCTCCCAGCAGGTTGTATGGTTAGAGCTCCTGAGAGTCTAAGACTGAGTCTTCAGTTCTACTAACTGCTGGGTTGTACATTTTTAAAAATTGGAAGATGGGTGGTGATACACATATGACTTGGCTGCAGCAGAGAAGATGGAGAAAAAAGTTTAACTAAGACCAAACTAATATTTTTTTTCTTGGTTGTAGTAATAGGCCAAGATTTTGTAGCAATAATTAAAGTAATCTGGTTTTTAAATTTTGTCCTTTTCTTGTGCTTGAGAATTTCTAGATGATTAATTATCAGATAAATTTGAAGTTTACTTTTTTAAGAAAAAACTTCAAATTAGAATTTTTATGATGGCTTAGTGTAGAGAGAGAGTGTGAAGCATGCACCTCCAGAGCCAAATTTTATGCTAACTACTATGTAAAATTCACATCTCATTGCCACCTTACCTAAAAGTGGGACTTTTGAAATTTCATTCTGACCAGTAATGGTAACTGGGATGTGTAAAACTGCATAAGGTATATTTGCTTGTTACTGAACAAATAAGTAGTTCTGTGAGAATGTTTTCTTTCAAATGCAGGCTTACTTTGAAGGTGATCACAACAGTATTTGGTGTTTTGTTTTGTTTTTTATGGGAGATTGAACTCAGGGGTGCTTAACTGCTGAGCCACATCCCCAACAACATGTAAAAGACAACAGTTGAGAGAAAAGGGAATAATTAAGCTATTAGAGTTGTTACAGAGTGAGTATATGATCATATGTAAGATGTAAAATAATTAAACAGGCATATGAATCTGTAGTTCTAAAATATAAGTCACAGATTTGTCTTAGGGCTTCCTACTGGCCCAGTAAAGAGGGCAACATGATCAGTAATAATATTTAAATTGTTTGTCCATAGTTGAAAACTAACCAGGTGTTCAGGAAAGAAAATTATCCCCTGGGCTGGGGATGTGGCTCAAGCGGTAGCGCACTCGCCTGGCATGTGTGCAGCCCGGGTTCGATTCTCAGCACCACATACAAACAAAGATGTTGTGTCTGTCAATAAATAATAAATATTAAAATTCTCTCTCCCTCTCTCTCTCTCTCTTTAAAAAAAAAAGAAAGAAAGAAAATTATCCCTTGGTTATTATAAATCAGACAATATCGTTAAACTGTTGTACAATACCCAAGTACCTGTCATCCCTAACAAATATTTGTATCTCATATTTGCCTCATGTCATCCTTATTTTAAAACAAACATAACACAGTTGAAGTATCTTATATTCTCTTCTCAATCTTATTCTTTCTCTCCTGTGACCATAAAACTTATAACTTGTCAGTGTTGTTTTTTCTTTCCTTTTTTTTTTTTGCTTCTACTTCATGCATATATCTGTAATAGTATTTAAATCTTAAATTTGCATAAATAATATACTGCACGGCACATGTAATTCCAGAACTTTCTTTTTTCATTAGTTCTGTGATGTCCATGGTGCTATAGATCTAGTTTATTAATTACAAATCATGAAATAATAGTTTCCCATTATGTGGAAATAATCTAATTTAACTATCTGTTTCCCTACTAATGGATTTTTAGTTTGTGTCTAGTTTTTCACTGTTAGAGTGTCATTTTGAACACTCCTATCTATGTTTTCTTGTGCCTAAGCATAGAGTTTTCTAGGGCAATGGTTCTCAAATGTGGCTCCAGAAGAAGCACATCAGGATCACCTGGGATCTTGTGCCCAGCCCAAACCTCTGAATCAGAAACTTTGGGGGTGGGGCCAGCAATCTGTTTCAGAGGTGATTCTGAAGAGCTCCAAACTTGAGAACCAGTTCTCTAATGCATACACAGCTAAGAATGAGATTATTAAGGCTTAGGGTACATATTCTTTATATTTTGCTGGACATGGCCAGATTCCCATATGTAGTATAGTTACTGCTTTACAGCCTTACCAATAGTTTATGAAAGTTCCTATTTTCTCATTCATACTATGGTTAAATATTTTTTCCTTGCTGGTCTAGGAGATATAAAATGTTTAAGAGATATTTTCTTTTTTCTTTTATTGTTAGTGATAACTTGTACAGGATAGTTGTCCTTTTTCTTATTGACTTTTGTATGAACAATTTATAATTAATTTTTATATATTAATAAAATTATTAATAAATGCATTACAAGATTTTTTTCCTTTCCTTCTGTCTTGACTTTGTTTATGTTACTTAAAAATTGTTGCCAAGCTGGGCACAGTGGTACAGGCATGTAATCCCAGCAGCTCGAGAGGCTAAAGCAGGAGGATCATGAGTTCAAAGCCAGCCTCAGCAAAAGCAAGGTGCTAAGTAATTCAGTGAGACCCTGTCTCTAAATAAAATACAAAATAGGGCTGGGGATGTGGCTCAGTAGTCAGGTGCCCCCTGAGTTCAATCTCTGGCACGCCTCCCCCAAAAAATTCACCAGTTTTAAAATCATATGTATTTAAGGTATGCAACCTAGTATTTTGATATGTATATGCATAGTGAAATGATTACTTCAGTCAAGCCAATTAACTTATTGCCCACATGTGTACATGTGAAAAAAGCACACGAAGACTAACCTCTTAGCAAATTTCCAGTATAGAATACAATACAGAATATATTACAATTAACTGTAGTCTTTATGTTGTTAGATCTTTAGACTTAGCCTACCTATGTGCAACTTTGTACCCTTTGACCTATATTTCCTTATTCCTTCCTGCCTAAAATTCACCAATTCTTTTTTTTAATGTCCTTTGTATTTAGAAAGGCCTTATAGAGAAGTTTAAGTTGGATTTGCTTTGCAGCTGGAATACTATCCCACTGAGATGTATAGCAGTTATTTGAAGATAGGCTGGGCCTGGGGCTGGGGCTGGGGCTGGGGCTCAGTGGCAGAGTGCTTGCCTAGCATGTGTAAGGGACTGCGTTGGGTCCTCAGCACCACATAAAAGTAAATAAATACAATGGAGGTATTGTGTCCATCTACAACTTAAAAAAAAAATAGACTGGGGTTTATGAGAGAGGTAAAACTTAGAGAGATTTGGGAAACATTTGTGTAAGGCCAATAAATTGACACTGTTAAGATGGATAAAATTGCCATAAAGATAATGTAGATTGAGAAAATGATCAAGGATTAAACCATGGGAAGCAACAATACAGGAAGAAAATCCAAGAGATTTGAGGAATGATCAGCAACAGAAGGATCTAGAAAATCAGATGGTAACAAATTGTGAGGAGATATTCTCTAATGCCCCTTGGAGAAAGGAGCACATTTAAGAAAGGTGTAAAAATGTTGCCTTTAAGAATGCAGCTAGCAGGCTGGGATTGTGGATCAATGGTAGAGCACTCCCCTAGCATGCAAGAGGCCCTGGGTTTAATCCTCAGGACCACATAAAAATAAATAAAATAAAAGGTATTGTGTCCAACTACAACTAAAAAATAAAATAAAATAAAAAAGAATGCAGCTAGCAAAGGTTTGAGGAGTAAAAGATTTCTACTACTTTAGCAGCAAGTATAAGAGATGACGCAAAGTTAGAGCAATATTGCTGGGGATGTAGCTTAGTTGGTAAAGTGCTTGCCTGGCATGTACTAGGCCTTGTGGGGTGGGGTAGAGGGGTAACAAGGTCATTTTGTGTTAGGAGAGGAACATTTGTGCCCTTAGGGAAGGAGCCAGTGGCAAGTTGGGAAGTATGAAGTTGCATCTGATAATCTTGCTGGCTCCTTTGCAGGCAGCCTTTTCATAGATGTTTTTTATCTATGCTTTGAATAAGATCATTTGGTAAGATAATATTGAGGACTGTGCAAGGGTTAAGATAGGCTGCTATAACTGAGTAGGAGACTACTTTAGGTGGTCTTCTCTGAGGTAAATATTAAATTTGAGACCTAAGTGGTAAGGAGCCATGTGAATGGTCAGGATAAAGCTTTCCAGACAAACCACAAAATTTCCAGTCTCTAGAAGATCAAAGAATAGTAAACCAATCTAATAAATATTGTTTGTTGGATTCAACCAGAGTGAAGAAAGAACAGAAATCTTTGTTCCCTGACTTTGGAAACCTTGTTTAACCTTCAAACTGGCGATGTCAAGGGTTCCAAGTCCTCCACCTCCGGCAGAAATGTCGAGTGGCCCTGTAGCTGAGAGCTGGTGCTACACTCAGGTAATTTCTTGATTCACCCTGTAAATCTTGCATCTTGGGAGGATTTGATGAACAAATATTCTTTTTGCTTTTCTATGTTGTGTTTCCTGCTTTCTCTGGAACATTTAAAGTGCTTGTCAACCTTGCATTCTTTTCTTGGTTTTTCACATGGACTCTGAATCTCCAAGACTAGTGTTTTTCGATGGTGGTTGAAAGGGGGAATCTTAAAAACTAGATTTGTTTATATCCCCTTGATGGAAATATGCACTAAGGCTCCCCTTCTGGAGGATCCATGTCTGAGATTTGCAACCCCAGGCAGTGTTCTCAACATCTCAATTGGAGACTCATTTTAGGTCTGGTATTATCATCTGCTTTCCCAGCCCTGGTTTGATACTGGTCCCTCTGCTCCATGTTTTTTCACTTTCCATCCAGTGTTTCTCAGAAACTCAAAAAGTTATGAAAAACAATTGGTCAGTGTGAGATTTTTTAAAAATGAGAGAACTAAAGCAAGAAAACACTGAACCTCCTTGCTAGCCCAGCCATGCTGTCTTCCTAGCGGGCGGGCATCACGTAGAAAGAGGGAGGAGGGAAAATGTTTATCTGATCTTCAGCCTTTTTTTTTTTCCACTTCCTATTTAATTGCTTTCCTGATTTTCTATCAACAGATCAAGGTAGTGAAATTCTCCTACATGTGGACCATTAATAACTTTAGCTTTTGCCGGGAAGAAATGGGTGAAGTCATTAAAAGTTCAACCTTTTCATCAGGAGCCAATGATAAACTGAAATGGTGAGGAAGAATACCTCTACCTGTAAAATTTTTTTCCCTAAGTTGCCTGTTTTGCTTGGTTTTATGGGACACTGATTAGAATGTAAGTTCTTTTTTTTTTTTTAATATTTGTTAGTTGTAGTTGGACACAATACCTTTAGTTTACTTATTCATTTTTATGTGGTTCTGAGGCTCAAACACAGGGCCTCACATATGCTAGGTGAGTGCTCTTTCGCTGAGCTACAATCCCAGCCCAAGAATGTAAAGTTCTTGAAAGCAGGGACTTTGTTTTGTTTTTTACTATGTCCCCAGTGCTTAGAACAGTGCCTAGCAAACAATAGGTGATCACAAAAATTTGATTAATTCACTGAATTTATTAGAGATCAGCAAACTCAAGCTGTAGGGTAATACAGATGAATAAAGAGGACCAATGTTAAAAATGATATCCATACATGGTATGAGTGGTAACTACTTGGCAATCAAGTAGGTATCCTTCTAAAAGGAGCAGAGGCTACTCAACTCAGCCAACCATAGCTATCTGAATAAGGGCTGACTATCACCAGATTTTCTGGTTTCCAAGAAAAGCTAAAAATCTAGCTTAAAACAAAAATTTTTGACTTTTTAATTGCTTATTTTTAAGCAGTAAAAGGGGGGAGGTTATTTGCCTATGGACTGGACTGACCAGGTTGTAGGATGGAATTTAGCCAGCAAGCTAGTGGTTAGAGTAAGGACTCATCTCTCTCTTCTCAGCCTGCTCTCCATGCTAGCTTTCCTTGTGCTTAAAGGCTGACTAGTAGTAGCAATGGACATAACCCACTATGTGCCAAGAATATGTCACAGTAGCATTGAATGGATGAGGTCTGAGTTCTCTAAACTAATCCCTATGGCAAGGGCAACGTGATTTGGGAGTGGGGATCAGTCATCATCAACTGTACGATGTTATTTATATAACTGGACTGAACTGATTTTTCAAGGTTGTTGGCATCTCAGCTTTACCCTTGTTACTGTTCATAAGAACAAAGATGGTGTGCTGTCTTAGTATACATCAACATTGCTTAGGTCAAAATTCTGGCTTTTTCACTATGGATTTTTCAAATAGCATTTGAAAAATCAAAATCATGTGTCATCTTAAAGAAGAGGAGCAGGCACTTAAGGATATACCCATATGCCCATTACAAAGACCAAATTTGGAACCAGTTTGGAACTCTTTGACAACCAACTGAAGAGTTGTTTATTCATTTATTTTAGCTGTGTACATTAAGCAGTGAACCACTAGGTATTGAGAGAGCTGTTTATTCTTAGGCATTGTATTTAAATTCATATCTGTAGCATATTGTATAGTGATGTATGTGGCATCTGTACTCCCTAGAGAGGCACTGGATTGGGCCACCTGTTTAAGAGAGGTGTCATAATACTGGCAAGGCCTGAGGATACATATGGCCTATGTATTCTATGTGATAGAAGCAGTGTCTGAACCACATGCAGTTCAGCTAATGACATTTACAACTTAACTCACTTGAACCTATTCAGTTCTGCTTAAATTTTATTTTGATCCATCCATAACAGATTGGTGTCTCTAACTATTTTAAAAGCCTAGTTTGCAACCCTACCGTGTATAATGGGGATTTACTTTTGTCTGTGCTTCTTCCATACTTCCTTCTTTATTTTCAGAATATTATTGCCAGATTGATAAAATAATCTGTAAAAGATTAGGTACCATTTGCATATTTCTCTAGAATACTTTTTCTCTTCCACAGTGATATTAAAGGGTTCACTGGGTTTTGTTTTGTTTTTTTGTTTCTCTGTTGTCTTAACAAAATTAAGGGCTGCTGTTCCTGAGATTGAGGATTGGAATATAGCAAGACTAGGCTGAATTTTAAAATGTTTTAGGGTGAACAAGATGAAAGCCCCTTTATTTTTGTTGTTTACTTTTAAACAGGTTCACTCCCCTTCAAGAAAGGGGTTCAAGAAAGGGGTTCAAGAAAGCCCCTTTATTTTTGTTGTTTACTTTTAAAAGGTGACCCAAATTGCTCTAGAAAGGTGGTTCCCAAGTAGTAATTCTACTGAATCATAATCTGATATGAGGCCTAGACTTTTCTTTAAATATCTCCCTCTTGATTCTGATGTTCTATTCTGTTACTTCACAAGCATTTAAGGATACTTTTGATACTTTTTTTTTTTTTCCCTGTTTTGGCAAGGTGTTTGCGAGTAAACCCAAAAGGGCTAGATGAAGAAAGCAAAGATTACCTGTCACTTTACCTGTTACTGGTCAGCTGTCCAAAGAGTGAAGTTCGGGCAAAATTCAAATTCTCCATCCTGAATGCTAAGGGAGAAGAAACCAAAGCTATGGGTAAATGTTCTTTTTGTTCAATTCTCACATCCAGTATCTTCATACACTGGTTTTTGATAACCCTAAATATGACTTTTTTTTTTCCCATCCTAGAGAGTCAACGAGCTTATAGGTTTGTGCAAGGCAAGGACTGGGGATTCAAAAAATTCATCCGTAGAGATTTTCTTTTGGATGAGGCTAACGGGCTTCTCCCTGATGACAAGCTTACCCTCTTTTGTGAGGTGAGTCCTTTTACCCTGCTTGAGACTGTCCGTTCCCAGACTTCTTGGGCATTTGTGACTTGTATTGTATCAAGAATGTGGAATGAGAAAAATTCCCAAGTGGAGTAGTACTGTACAAATGTTATTTATGTGACTGGACTGAACTGCCTCATGATTTCAAGGTAGTTGACATCTCAGCTTTGTTCATAAGAACAAACATGGTGTGCTGTCTTAGTATACATCAACATTAAGTTGCTTGGGTCAAGATTCTGGCTTTTTCACTGTGGATTTTTTTTTTTTTTCCCACTGTGGATTTTTAAGATAGCATTTGGAAGGGCTATCATTTCAAGCTGAGGGGGGTGACCAGCAATTAAAAGTATGTGTCTGTTCCTTTAACTTCCTGGCTCCTCCTTGAGTGGGAAGTCCCTGTATATTTGACAGTGCATTACTTTCCCTTTTTGCTCTTTGAATTAGATGACTCCCATTGGGTTGTATGCCTATGGTTTGTCTTGCTGGAGTCACTGTGAAATAGAAAAGTGGAAGCTACTTTTCCCAGGGTAAAGCTTGCTTATTCAGAGAGAGCTACCTGTAGTCAGGTAACTTTTTCTCACCAAGAACCTAAGAACCTTTTCAGATTTATAGAGGAACCTGTGAAGTAAAATTCCCCAACCAAGAGAAGCTGGTTTCTTTAATGAGTATTGTTTATTCTAATTAGTCATTTCAAGTTGTTTTCCATATATTCAGAAATGCTCACAAACTCATTGAACTCCAGTTCAACTAGGATATTAACATTCCTGGGTATCATATGGTCTGGAAACCACTTCCTGAGCAGCACCACTTGATAAGAACCACCACTATACCTTCATGGGGGAAGGTGCAGGCAAACTCCCAACTGCCAAATCCATCTGTCAAATAAGGGGCTCATACCATGAGTTAATGACAGTTCCAAAGGCATATCACCACCATGTGTCAGGAAAAGTTATCCCTTAGGAATCTTGCCCTTTTGCCAGAGAAGTCTGGCCAGCAATAGCAGGCTTCTGTATTTCAACAGAATGGTTACTAATGATTAAAAAACTTTGCAGGCATGGTTTATTAAAATACTACACTGAATACGTAAAATAGAATTTGCATAATAGCTGCTTCAACTCCATTTTAATTGCTAAGTAAAATAAATATTAGAGTGATAGCATCTATATAAATATGTAAAATGTGGCAGTTGTTTTATGACTGAACTTGAAATTTGAATTCCATATAAGGTCCTATTGGTCACAGATCCTACTCAGTTGTCTGAGTGAAGAAATGAGAACAATTAGGTGTGAGGTTAGATGTTATCTATACAGAGCATCAGTTTTAATCTTTACCTATCTTAGAGTCTTGTATTTCAAGAAAACTTTAAAATAGTGAAGAAGTCTAATTTTGTTGGAACCAAAAGCCAATCTTCAAACCATTCTCTGAAGAAAATCTCTACATATTGCATCTGTCATTTAAGGCAGAGCCATCACCTTTATTGCAGCATTTCCAAGTCCACAGTGGATCCAGATCCAGCCTTTTCTCACATTGCTTCCTCCGCTTTCCCCAGTCCATTCCAGCTGCTCCAACCCCTGTATTGACATTCTTGATTTGAAAACCCATTGGCCTGCCCTCACTTGGCAATCTCTCATCCTATGGTTAACTCTGAGGCTGTGTTCCAGCACTCACTCTCTTCACATCTCCATATGAAATTCTCTTAGGAGAAATCCTGTGGTTAAGTTTAGATTTGCCTTACTGACTTAGAAGGGAAGTGAGATGACACTTTGGAAACGAGGAGATGTTGAACAGGGAAGCGTCTGCTGGGTTCTGCTGATGCCATCGGTTTCTTACCATCGAACCAGGTGTGCCATCTGTTCCTCTCACACTTCTCTGTTGGCCACAGGTGCTGAGTGTTGCTTCTCATACTTGGGCTTGTGCCTAGTGAGACTTGTTTCTGTTCCAAGGCTCTCTGTGGACTTAGTAGCATTCAGCATTGCAAGACGGTTGCGTGGGCGTGTATATTGGATGTGTGGGTTTTAAAAATGTCTGCGACTCATCTAAGTTCTTAGCATTTTTCATAGCTCAATCATTTTTGGTGCAAGTTTTATCCCTTTGACCTGTCATTTACTTTAGGCCTAATTAATATTTTCTTACTATGTAGAGACCTTTATGAAGGTGATAGCTGCATGGAAATTAGATTTTAAGTGCCCACTATGGCCTTGGCCCCTGACCTTGGCCCCTGACCCTCCTGTGCTGTCCTGATGAAGGAAGTGCAGTTGTTTCAAGGACTTTTTGCTGCTCCCAGAGGCCCAAAGAAGGAATCCTAAGGTGAAGACTGAGGGTCACACTTTTGTGTACTTGGCCATTATTTTAGTATTTATTGTTACTGAATGTTTAAATTAAATTAGATTATAATTATAAAATGCCAAATGAGTGGTCTTGTTTGTAATGTGCCACATTAGGTTCACTTCCAGTTTTCAGTGATGCTTTGTCTGACTATTAGGAAATGTGGCAATTCTTCCAAGTTGATTTTTCTTAATTAACTTATTTAAAAGCATTATTTGTTTTGTTTTGTTTTTTTAATTTTTTTTAGAAAGAGAGAGAGAGAGAATCTTAATATTTATTTTTTTAGTTTTCGGCAGACACAACATCTTTGTTTGTATGTGGTGCTGAGGATCGAACCCGGGCCGCTCGCATACCAGGCAAGCGCGCTACCACTTGAGCCACATCCCCAGCCCTAAAAGCATTATTTGAATTGTCCCCTTATTGCAATCCTTTGAGCTGAGTCAAATTCTGTTTTCTTCATTTCGTTTATAAGGGGAGAAGCAGTGTCTCAAGAGGTCAGGTAATTTTTCCTAACATGTGCAACAAATTAATGTCAGGGCCACGTCAGCTCTGCAGTTCCCATCTCTAGTCGGCTGCACTACGGCTAAGTGGAGCTGAACTTCATTTACCTCTGGAAGCATGGGCGCTCCCAAGTTTTCTTGACAGAGAGTATTTACTTTTGGTAATGAAAGAAAAACATGAAAGCATGCTTAAATTACACTTTAATTTTCTCTTTAATAATTTGGACCACAGAAAATCTTCATGAAATTTTTCAGTTCTCTGTCTAGCTATTTATGTTGAAAACAAATGGCTGTTTGCAATAAAGATGCAGCATATTCCTCCTTAATTGTACATGCCTTTGACAAACAGAAGATTCTAGTGCCTCTTTGTGATGTTGCAATTAAAAATGAAAAGGAAACACCATTTGAAATATGAAGTACCAAATATCCAGATACTGGTTAACTCTTTCAAAACATCCCATCTAGCAGCTGAGCTTGGTGGCACACACCTACAATCCCAGCTACTCCAGTCTGAGGCAGGAGGATCTCAAATTCTAAGCCAGATTGGGCAACATAGCAAAAGCCTATTACAATATATTTTTTTTAATTTTTAAAAATCCCATTCATTCCATGATTGTTCTTGACCTAAGAAATGTTGATTTAATATGTAAAATCATTATAGTTTATAATACATGATGATGTAGTAAACCCTACCACCCAACCTCTCCCTGAGATTGAACTCCCTACTCAGAATGAGAAACAGCTATTTTGAATTTTATGATAATCATTCCCTTGTTTATTATTTGTATTCATGAATAATATATTGTTTAGGTTTGGCTTATTTTGATCTTTATAAAAATGATGTCATACTATATTTATTCATCCTCTTATTGATCATATTTAAGTTGTTGCTAGTCTTTTGCTGTGAGAAATATTGCTACTATATAAACATTTTGTATGCAGTATCTGTTTATTTTTCCAATTCTTTTAATTGTATAGAATTTAAAAAACCTATTTCCATGGGTTTTACTTTGACTTTATGTATAGATGAAGTGTATAAGAATTGGCACATCTTTAGTCTTTTATGAAATTTTCTCTTTTAAGAAAAGGAACTGACTTTAAAAGTGAGACCCTTTTACAACTTGAAATTTAGGGGATCATACAGTCTTCCTGAGACATTTTCATGCATTCATTTATAAGACGACATAAATGTCACAGTCACGTCATCTTCACAGCTGCAATTCTGAATGAGTCTCTATAGTCAACTTTATAGGCATTAAAAAAAATCTTTAGTTTTTCTCAAAATGGTCTCATTTTAGCATCATCATATTTGCAGAGAAAAACAATTCCTTTCTAAGTTAAAAGTTTGGGCTCTGACGACTCATTTGTGAGTGCCATTTAAAATTTATTTTTAATTAAGCGTATTTAATGTCGGTAAGAGGTGCCAGACATTCAGAGCTCTGGAGACTCCAAGCATCTATATATCTACAGAACAAGCCTAGCCCAGACAGTACAGGTACATTCTCCTTCCTGCTGGTTTTTGTTTTTTTTTTTTTTCCTTCTGTGTCCAGAGAAAGGAATTGTTCCAGTGAGAGGTGTCACAGTCTTTGGGCCCCACTCATTACCAAACATATATCTAACCAAGAACATCCAACCATAGTTGATGAGAAATTCAGCCTAGCTTTTGCCAATTCATTTTACCCAGTCTACTAAATTGCCATCAAGTGTTAATGACTTTGGGCTCCTGTCAGCCTGGTTTAATTCAAGCTAGGAACACAGTGCCAAAAGCATTCTCCATTCCCTTCATTGGCCATCCCCAGAGATTCCTGCCTTTCCCTCTAAGGAAGTTGGATTTAATTTGTCTTTCCTTTTCCTTTTCCTTTTTTTTTTTTT